GATCATCAGCTGAAAGACACCTCTCCCTTTCCCACCTCTGATCTCGAACGTGCTATTAACATGTACGTGCAAGTTCCGCAGTGAGCCAACCTGATATCTTTATTCACAGGATCAAGAAATGAGGTATAAGGCTACTTGAAATAAAGCTGCAAACATAGAGAGTATGAAAAAAATGTGAGAGCTGCCAAACATTGCATAGTTAGAACGTGAGGGAAAAAAAACCTAACGAACACTGCAGATGAAAATATTCTCAAAGCAGTAGCTAGTACATTAGATGAAATTTGTTTCTGTCCAAAAGTATAGTATTCTCCACAATTCTGGGAATAAGAAGTGCCAACTGCTTGTTCAACTGAGCACCTTAAAATATATATTTTTTTTTAGGGGAGGAAGGATACGACATATTCTGATGCTAATGAGTTCCTTTTATGGCCTAATCTCTGGGCATTCAACAGGTTTTTCCTCTGAAAGCTGAAACGTAAAATTTAGTTTTGGACATGTATTAGCTACTTGCATAGGCAAAAGAGATGTTTCACTAGAAGCCTACATGATCTCATGTTCTGGCTTAAACCCTTTAAAAACTGAAATAGTACAAATGTATCATAAACCACTTAAAAATTAAATTCCAACTAATCATATCCAGTAGTCCAAAGAGAAACAAGATGCATAAATAACATTAATTTCTCATTGTTGCTATTTTTATCATCCTAGCTGACTTTTTGCCATATTTAAATTAAGCTGTTGCTTCCTACAGTATTCTGGAATATTGAAAGTTTCACCATCACGCTTAGAAGCTAAAGACATACTCACAGTATTCATTAAGCGCTAAGTAGTGATAGCAGTTTAACAACTCAAAATTAAGTAAAAAAAGAGTGTACTTGTGAGAAAAATCATACAATTTTGCACCTGCAATTGAATGCAAGTGAAGTATGTAGAGTACCCAGGTCATATTTTGTTCATTCATACATACTGCAACACAGTTTCACTCTGAAAAAGCAAACAAACTTCAGAGAATGAATGTTAAAAGCGACTTTCCTTGCCAAATAAACAAAAGGACATTCGAGGACCTCGGAGCCCTGAAGTCAGGGAGGTAACGAGTTAAATTTCTCACAGAGCTGTCGAACTGCTTCGTTACATGCAGAAGATTATTTGGTTATCCCTACGGAAACAAAGTTCTCTCATGAGATGGTCAAGCGTCAAGGCAAGCGGCGCAGCTCAGTTATCAACTCTCAAAGCAAAGGAGAAGAACGAGCAGTGATATGCTCGTGAACTTCAGGATATGGCTTCGCTTAAAAGAGGTGTGTACTGCACGTAAATATTAAGTGATCCAGAGGGAAGAAGCAAAATGATAGGCTAAACGTGAAAACAATATTTAAGTTTGTAATACACTGAGGTTAACGGGTTTTCTTTTGCGGGGAGGGGGGGAGAAGGCAAAACAAAACACACACAGAACAGTTGCGCTGTTTTTGTAGCCATTGGCCTCCCAACTCAGCCACTGCTACTTACCCTTCTTAAATTGGTTGAAGAACATTTAAGTGGTTTAAAAAAAAAAAAAAACCCACTTTCCACTAGCAAACGTTAAGTTCACAAAACTGCTCAAACCCCAGTAATTAAAATGCTGTTGAGACTGGAGAACATTTTGCACATATCTGCCACCTGGTGTTTGGAAAACAGCCTGATGTCTGGAGGGAAAACAAATCGAAATACTATTGAATTGAAATACTGCTAAAATTGTATTGCCGGTAAGAAGCAAACAATGATGAATTTAATATGAGCTGCCTTAATCAATACATAAGCAGCAAAAGTGTCTTTAGGTTGGTGTTATTACCAGCATCTAGGTAGAAAGGAAAAAAGCACAGGGACACTCAATGTTCCTTCCAGCTCTATCTGTAATAACCACAACAATTCTCCAGGAAATCTTTGTCTTAAATGCATATAGGTCTCCTGCCAGGTAATGGCATTTTGAAGAGAAACCTCCCAGGCGCAGCCTTATAGGGCTTCACGTTCTAACTGTAAACTGTAGTGTGCCAAATCCGCAAGGTGAGGGGAAGGGGTGCAAGCTGTGCCAGAGATGGAACTGGGCACCCACACGCAACATAATGATAAATAATACTGAGTAGTAAATGCGTAAGCAGCAAGTGTCCAAAACAACTGTGATGACCTTTACTATGTCTTAGCTAAAAACCATTGAAAAAACTGAGCGCTAGTAATTATAAGCCTTGTATGTTTGATGCATGAAGGAAAACATTTCTCACTGGTAAAACTGATAACATTCAGGATATAAATGGAGATCAGCTTTGCCTACTGAGAGGTTAGTTTAAATAGAGCATAAAGTTTCAGTGTAGGCAATTAATTAGACAAAATTATTGGACAATTTAGTCACATCAAGCTGTTACCTACAGCACAGTGAGCGATTTTTTCCTTCTTTGCAGAAGGAATTCAAATGCAGCTGTTTCACAATTATAATTCAAGATGAAACCATGGTCTAAAGTCAGTCTCAGGAATACTATTTAAGTTAGGTTAAGTTAAGGTTTTTTCAGCATCTGAAGAAAGCATTTTCTAATGAAAACATTGAACATAAACAAGGAATTTTATAAAGCACAAAAATATTCTTGCTGTTTTCTATCAGCAGTAACTGCTCAGCACAGTGAAGACCTCAGTTTCCTGCCTTAGCATTGACTGAGGAAACCACCAAGCATTGCATGACCTTCTCCTCCTTTAGGGAGGACACAAATGAAAAAAGATACAAAGTTGAAAGTAAAATTGACAAAAAAAGAAAAACCCCACTCACCACTAAGCAAAACCAAAATTACATCACTGGTCTAGTATGGTGATGGCTACTACAGAAGCCGTGATCCTGGCTCCATTGTTAAAGTTGACCACTAAACTGATTATTGGATGTTACTAAAAAAAAAAAAGTAAGCAAAAAGAACACTTTAGGCTCCTATACAAAAACACTGCATTAAAAAGTTTACCCACCGCCCTGTTCTTTGTACCATCTGTTCAAGACTGTCTGCAGGACTCTGGAGATTCAGAACTGTTTTTGTTAGTTAAAGCTCTAAGAGAAAATACTTTATATTCTATCTGAGTTACTCTGGATCAATATCGATTATTTTAATTGACAAATAAAGAAATAATAATGTTGCATACAACCTAGTATCACCAGAACAGTGCATTCCACTCTCATTTTTGTTTCAACATGCACAGATGCATCTTAAAAAACACCTCGAGAAATGCAATAACTCTGCCAGAAGCAAGGAGAAAATACTTGGAGGGAATCATTTGTGCTAGTCCTATTATATTATTTTCCCTAAAAATCTACTGCTTACCATTGTTAGAAACAAGGAAGCAGCCAAAGAAACTTTTGGTCTGCTCTAGTGTGGTACTAATCAGGCTACATTGTTAAGAAATTCCCCTCAGTCTTGCTTAATATCGGTAATTTATAAGAACCTTTAAATTCTAAGACCAAACCAACTAAAAAAAAAAAAAAACAAGGACGCGTTTCCACTCCAACTCTCTTTATGATCTCTGATGAGCATCTGACCACCTAAAATTGTCAAGACAGTCACCTGATCTTTGGAAGCTAACAAATTAAAATACACACATTGAATAACAAGGTGCCCCAGAAGGAAAAAGTTCATTTTTCAGTGAAAAGTGTTAACTTTCATCCTTAAAATGTGTAGTATACTGTGCCCTATGTAAGTCTTATTTTCAATCTGCATAGCTCTGAAAATGGCACCTTCTACTACTGAAATTGCCTAGCACGTTCTTTCAGCAACTGCTTACAAAGAAATTGGTTATTGAGTCAGTTAGCTAAACCTTAAGATAAAACTGACTTTGTTAACAAGTTTTGATTCTGTGAAATAGTACCCTTAGAGAGTAATAATTTGGCTGCTAATTTCTCTACTTGTGAAAGTAAGTTCTATTCTCAGACTTTTAAGTTAGAAAACAAAGAGCAGACAGGAATAGAAAAAAAATCCTTCCTACCCAAGCAAAACAAACCTGTTTTTCATTTATGTTTTAACTGAATATACCCACTCAAGAGTGCTCTTACCTACCATGCTTGGACAATAGTACAAGAAAAACTCTAGAAGCTGGTAGAAATGGTTGTGTAGTGTGATCAGTCAGCAACAGCACCAGTTAGAGCACCAGAAAAATTTGGCTAGTCTATAGTGCTTGGAGGGATCCGCAAGGACACCTCTCGCACCAGAAGCCCCATCTTCCTCAACCTATATATATATTTATATAAAAAAATACCATAAACCAAGTAAGTTCTGATATGTCAAGAGTTTTAGCAGTTACTTTTTCATATTGAAGAAACTCTCTCCGCATTGAGAGATTCAATCTGAATCTTTAACAAACCATGATAAACATCAGCACTAGCCTCAGATATAAATAAACTAGTACTTTGTTCTCAAAGCACCAATAACATCAATTTCTATGGCAGTGGGGGGAGATTTGATTCTCTGCAGCAGAGTTTACTGCAACGTGGTATCTTGAAGTAAGGGCACAGATAGATGGTCAAGCCTTTCTAAAATTTGAGGTAGTGCCATCACTACAGGCTCTTCTGCGTCTACAAAAGAAGTTGAGACATACCAAGCAAAAGATCATGTACTGATTTTTCAAGAGAACACTTGCTAGTTCCTTAAGAATGAAGACAGTACAATACATTAAATAAACATGTACAAAATATGGCAGGAATTATTTCCTGCTTTCAAGCTTGAGCCCTATAGTTGATACATTCACATGCATTAAGGCAGATGTAGGGATAGAAAAATCTTCCTCCAACTTGTAGAGACAGAAGTTACTTAAAACCCTATTTTCCTGATTTTAAGCTTTTTTCCAATTATAATGATAGCAGACAAAAGTTACGGAAGTCACTATAACTGACAAACTTAAACAACTTGCATACCATATATTTCGACCTTGCCTTAACTCAAGAGGAAGCTATTTATGATGATTCTTGAAGCCCAAAACTGGAAAGAGGCATTAAAAAAAAAAAAAAAGAAACACTGCTTATTTTATTTTCAGCTTTAGAGATGTGTTTCTAAACAATGAGTAGAAAAAACAAGTAAAAAAGTAAACGTTAGCTGCATTTTGTAAAAATCACATTAAACTAATACAAGACTTAATACAAAGTTACCACTCAAATGCAATAAAAAGAAAAGTAACTAGTCTGGTCTCCAAGACTTCTTTTCCTTAAATTAAACCAGTAAATATCCACAGATTTTTAACTGTAAAAAGGGAATACAAGTTTCTTTTTTTTTCCCCCATTTATAAAATTGATTGCCACATACTTCAATCATTTGCAAATGAAATTCATAGATACATATAGTCTCAGGTATGGAATTTGAGAGAACACACAGTTCCATGATTGAAGTCCTTCCATTTTCAGTATAGCCTCTTTATGAAGTCAATGCTTGTCACATATCTTTAGATTGATCATCTTCTTCAAGTTTTCTAATTTCATTCTTTAAACAGTTGATGGTTTCACGACTTGCTTTTAATCTTTCCTTAAGCTCAGCAATTTCAAAACTGGTTTTCTTTTTGGCAGCTTCCAGCTTCTCCCTAGTTTTAACTTCAAGATCTGCAACTGTGGTGATGATAAAGAAAAATAAATACTGTGACTGTAATGAAAAGTTCCAATTATTAAAAATATATTTTTAAAAATCATAACAGTAATTTAGATGTATGTCCTGAAAAAGTTATTACTATTAGTCCTAGAGATTCAAAGATTCTCAGATACCACTTCAAGTTCCACGAGCTGGAATTAAAAAATAAAATAAAAAAAAGCAGAGAAAAGCTTGTTCGGTGACTTCATTTAGCCTAGTCTTGCTGATGGAACTGTATAATTCAGTAAATCAGTTTCCACAGTAAAAACATTTTTAAAGATTAAATAAGAAGAAATTGACATGGTGACAGCAAAAGAAATGGACAGTTACAGAGTACTGACAAATTAACTCCCTACTTAGTTCCTTTTTCCATGTGCTGTAATGCACTTCCTGTTCTGGTTGGAGTTCAATTCTATGGATCCAGGAGATCTAGCAGGGCAGACTTTGCTTTTACAAACATCCTACTAAGATTGCTTTATTAGGAAGTCAAAGCTTTATTTTTATTTGTTCTTGCACGAGTTTTTGGTCAGTATCAACAAGTCTTTTCCAAGGCAACAAATCTGCACAGACCATGGATAGCCCTCCTAATCCTCCTAATCCTAATCCTAGTCCCATAACTGTGGACCGTAAAATAATAGATCAACGGTGCCAAGATGATCCTGGATTTTTTGTTTGAAAATATGCTACTGAAGCACATTAAGGAAACACACAGAAAAAAAACAACTAAAAAAAAGTTGTCAGCAGCCAGCAAGTAATTTCTATGTGTGCCCAGGAGAAATATGCAGAAATTTTACAAAAATGCTTAAATTTGGACAAGGCTTTAAGTTCACATTTTTTAAAGTATTAAAAATGTTGTCTTCTACTCAAAACCATAATGATATGCAATATAACAAAAAAAAATTCCACCTTAAAACTGGTAGAACTAAGGTAGAAAGTTTACATAGTTCACACATCCACACACCCTACTAGACACAAGGCAGATTAGAACCCTGAATTTATAGGCCCTCATTTTCGTCTAGGTACTCAGCGCCTAAAAATATTTGAAATCCGCTGTCAGGGGAACATGTAGATAAGCCAAAGGACAAATGACTAGAATAACAGTATTAGAGTTTGTAACTAACAAGGTGGGATTTGGGCTCAATAAACACTGTATTTGCTTTTTGATAGTAGAAGATAACAGACCAAACTCAGAAGATCATGGATGAAATCATTACTAAATACACTATTTTATAAACAAATGTATTTTCATTTGATTTCCTTAGTTTCCTTGAAGTTTCTGTTTTACATTTAAAGATAAATTAGATATGAAGGAGACAGAGAACATTAAGCTATACCAAAGTAGTCTGTTATGAAACGACCTACAGTTAAAGGGTTCGACTGGAAGAACTTCCAGACACTACCCTTTATTCCAAAGGGCCTGCTGCTTTCACTGTATGAATACAGAATGTTTCATATTTCGGCGCTAAAGTCTAATCCTTACCTGCAGGTAGCAAACATACCACTGAGATAAACACACTTTTTACATCAAACACGTTGGCCTGAATTTATTCTGTTTTAACTCATTTCAAAGATGTTAAACTAGGCATAGATCCTGCCATCACTCCTTATATTCTTAAGGCATGATTACTTTACTTCCAGCAGGCAAACAGATCTAAAAATCTTCAAAAATTTTCAAATAAGTATTACAATCTTGACAAAAGTTGAAGCTTATTTCATGCAAAAAAAAATCACTTTCTAGCAGCAGCCAAATCTGTTGTACTACTACCACCACTTTTCTATGTCTAAATTTACTATATTATTATTTTGAACTTACACTCCGTTTCATGCTTATAAGCACCTAGTGTTAGTTGACGAGACGTTGTTAACAGCTGCTGCATCATTGCAGTAGGATCTTGAAATATCTAATGAAGGAGAAAAAGATACATGGAATCACTAATACTCTTTCAAAATAAAGTGAAGATTACATTAACCATTTTCATACCATTTCATCATAGAATTCAGAAACTACAGTTTTCTTCCCCAAGATGGCATTGGTGTCAGACTGGAAAAGCTTCAGCAAATGATACAAGGTTACCTATTAAAAAAAAAAAACAACCCACAAATTTATTAGCTTTACAACTGGAGAGAAATACAAAGAGTGTTCCAAATGAAAATAAGTGCTATTTGCTCTTCCTACATGATTGTATATAATTTAAAAATCTTTTAGGAATGAAAAAATTACTCTGTTCTATAATTTCAGTAAAATTGCTTAAACTAAATATTCTTTATTAAACATGTTAGTGGTCCAAAGTCTGCTTGAAATCTAAAAAAAAAAATGTCTGAGCGAGTGGAATCTAAAACAAAAACTAGTGGTTTAGGATTAATGTATAAAATCTTTTTAAAATACCTCCTTTTAAACATTTCCAAATAGAAGAGATGATTTTAGTTTACACAGACTTTGCCACGAAATTAGTTAGAAAGTGCTTTCTAGGACCGTATCATCCCTTCTTGTGGGAAACCAAACCAACAAGCGAACAGGAAAATACTATCACAGAATCTCTGAACGTCTTTTCACTGGAATTTCTCTCTACAGGGAGAAATTAATCTCCATTACTGTCACTTACAGTACAAGAGACAGAAATGAACACAAGCCCACTCTGACTCTGGTGAGCCTCTGATAACCCCGACTATGACCTGGGGAGGGGGCCGACACACGCAGCCAGCCAACAGTTCTGTTCCTTCCACAAGCAGACCTATGAATTACCATGGAAGAGATTCAGTGCTTACTTCCCCTTGATCTTTCCTGCCAGGGAAGGAGAGGACAGATAACCTAGCCATTTGATCTGATTATTCCTGATTACGCCCCCTTTAAAAAAAATTCTCTTAGCACTGCTTGTGGCTTACATCCTTCAGATAACTGTGACTCAGAAGTAAATGAGTATGCACTAAAAAGCTAGGTTGGAATGAAAAGGCTTCTACTACTCAGATTGGGCAGGTTCTAAAACAGCCTTCTCAAAAGAGAAGCAAAGACAAAAACACCAAATCAACTGCAGGCCAGCTTGATCAAACCGTGAATGAAATTAATAATGACAAGTCTGAATGCAACTGAGCATGATAACACAGAAAGTCCCTTCTAGTCTAACATCAGTAGTTATGCAATTAAGAAAGACAAAATTAATTCTAACGCTTTATATAACTGTAAGCGTCTTAACCTGGTTTTCTTAGGAAAGAGGCCAGTAAAAACTCTGTTGCTTTCTGACCGATTTTGGCCAAATTTGAGAGACATACAAATCTTTAAGATATTTAAATATCCTAATATCCTATAACTAGGAAGCCACATGGCAAAGAAACCCTCAATAAGTGCTCAACCCAGATAAGGTGCAACATGCGTTCATGTATTAGGAAACATCAGAGAAACCAAACACAGGAAAAGCCCCTATGAACACCCTACCCAGCAGGAAAGCACAGAAATCAGAGATCATGGTCAACCACTAAATATAATTCATACAAGAAGAGGGCACATTATTTCCATGGTTAATGGGATATATTTTGACATATCATCATAATTAGTTAAGCATTATCAGAAGTCTGAAAGAAATACTTACAGGTCTTTCATTTGGATCAATGAAAAATATCTTAATGATTATTTCAAATTCACCCCAGCCTGTTTCAGCGATTTCATATGGTGGTTTGGTAACAACTGCAACAAGAAAAAAGAAGCATTAAAACGGGTGATAGAGCCTCAGTGGAACTAATCAAAATCCTAGATCTAGAAACAAATGCCAAAACGCAGAACCTACCTCTTAAAGGATTGCCATAGCTTTCGTGTAACTTGAATTGAATTTTCTTCACATAGGCAGACATATCCTAAAATGGGAAATAAGTTATTTGTGATTATTTACATAGCATACTAAATGACTTTATTCATCAGTCCCACATGCCTGTCATTTCTACTGGCGTGGCTACCTTTAAAAATAGGGGAAAAAGTAAGCATGTAAATCCAAGGGATCATAATACCACGTATGTCCTTCAATATTTTGTCCCTATAAATGTTCTGTGATTTCCCTCCTCACTTATGAGATCACTCCAAAAACATAAAATGAAAATGGTTCTCTCTCTTCTTCTTCCCAAACACCCTTCTGTCCTTTCATCAAGTTCTGCCTTTTTTTTTGAATCCTAATTCATTTCTACACTATATTGCTCTACTCCATAGTACTAAAGATTAACGGGGTACACTATTCCATGAGCGTTTTTCCTCCTCTATCACTGTAAGTCCAAGATGACAATGGCATTTCTTTCTGCAATCAAAATAACGTCAGCAACCAAGTATACTTTAACACACACAAAGAGAAAACTAGCAGGAACAATTATTTGTAAAATTGCTCTAACTTTGAGAAGCCTATTAAAGCTGCATAAAAATAAGCACAAGTTCAAGCACCTACAAGACAGAGCAGATAAATAAATTAATTAATCATTACAAGCAACGCTTTTTTAATATAGTTGCCTAAGAACAAGGGCAATATACAGGATCAACGCACCCAAGCCGCTCTGTGAACCTGGTCCCGTCTACCTACCTCATTTCTGTAAGGCTTTACATAAACCGTCCATTGATGAGTGTGACCATCTTCTTCTCTTTTCTTTCCAAAATACCGCGCAACATTTCCATACACTATTGGCTTCACGATAGTAACGCCCTGCCGGGGGCGGGGGAGAGAAGGGAGGGAGCGGGAAAAAAAAAAAAGAAAAAGGAAAAAAACCCCACGTTGTTTAGCATTCCAGGAAAACAACAACAACAAAGACAACCCCAAAACAACCCAGAACTCGTCGCTTTGAAAAGCGTGTACTTAGCAGCTCCTTCCAGCCCGAAGTACTCCACTCTTTAGCCGAGCCTGCGGCTCAGCGCACAAGCTGGAGCTTCCCCGGCCGCGCCAGCCCGCGCTGCCGCCC